CACCGCTCGGACGAACTTGAAGTTCTCAAACTTCTTGGCTGTGGAGGAACAGCGGAAAATGAAATCCTTCCACATTACTCCGGACTTACCCTGCACGTGTGTCATGCCACCATTCCGATCCTCATCGGGTGTGGCTTTGGCGAGTTGGAGCCTTGCCTAACTCGAGCATTCTTAGTTCGACTCTCGTCGGTTCACTGATCATGTAGGCGACACATTGAACTGACCGACTGCTCATTGCCTAACCATCTCCGGCTGGAGTTCGGCAGGAAGGTTTAGATCTCGAATACAATCACCAGCATATCAATCATGGCACCGTTATTTTCTCTTCAGGACTCCTCGGCATGTAAATCGAAGTCTGAAACTTCACGTCGACCTTTCTTCCAACATCGTCTGAATCAAAATGGGTTCCATGGGCGCGGACAAACAATGGGAGGTGCTGATCGTTGGCGGCGGGTTTGGGGGTATGTACCTACTGAACAAGCTGCGCAAGTTCGGCTTCAACGTCCACCTTTACGAAGCAGGAAGTGAATTTGGAGGCACATGGCACTGGAATTGTTACCCTGGAGCTCGCGTCGACTCCATTGTCCCAACCTATCAATTTTCATCAGAAGAGACGTGGGATCAGTGGGAATGGTCTGAAGCCTACCCCAAGCGCGACGAGCTCGACGCATACTTCCGCCACATCGGCAAGCTTTGGAATCTGTACGCGGATGCTAGCTTTCACTGCCGTGTGGTAAGCACACATTGGAATGCCGACGAAAAGATGTGGACGTGCGAGATTTCGAATGAGCAAGACAACACCACCACGATCGTCAAGACTCGCATGGTGCTTTTCTGTGCAGGTCTTGCATCGGTGCCATATAAGCCTCCTTATCAAGGAGTCGACGACTTCGAGGGAACGATATACCATACCTCCAGATGGCCACACGAAGGCGTCGATCTCAAGGGAAAGAGATGTGCTATTCTCGGCACTGGCGCCACTGGAGTTCAAGTAACTCAGGAAATAGGGCCTATCGCATCGCATCTCACGGTGTTCCAACGAACCCCGAACATTGCCCTGCCCATGGACCAAGCGCCGCTACGACATGAGGACAACATCAAGATAAAAAAAGATCTCCCAGACATCATGGAGATGGCCAAGACGACATGGGCAGGCTTCTTGATTTCCTGGAATGAGAAGAATACTTTCGACGTCACACCGGAAGAACGCGAGGCGCTATACGAAGAACTATGGAACAAAGGCGGCTTCAACTTTTGGGTCGGCAACTACAAGGATACGTCCGTCATCTTTGAGGCTTCTGACGCTGCCTACAAGTTCTGGCGAAAGAAGACGGCGCCGTTGATCAAAGACGAATGGAAGAGAGACAAGTTGTGTCCGGAAGTGCCACCCAATCCATTTGGTACCAAGCGCATTTCCCTTTACACGACTTACTATGATATCTTCAACCTTTCTCATGTTGACCTCGTCGACATCAACGAAACTCCGATTGAGTCGTTCACAAAGAAGGGTATCCGATTAGCAAATGGAGATGAACTCGAATTCGATGTCATTATCCTGGCCACAGGCTTTGATACCATCACGGGCGGCCTGACTCATGTCGACATCCGCGGCACCGATCCTTCTTTCACACTGGCCGAAAAGTGGAAGAAGGGCTGCCACACCTATATGGGCATGTGTAGTAACGGATTCCCCAACTTCTTCTTCGTCTTTGGACCACAGTCGCCCGCTCCATTCTCGATTGCACCTAACTGTATCGAGTACCAGGGCAACTGGCTCACGGACATGCTTCGGGACCTACGCCGAGACCACATCACGACGATCGAATGCACCAGGGATGCTGAAGAGGAGTGGAGGGAGCAAATCATTGCAAATGGAGAGAAAGGACTATTCAAATACGCGAAGAGTTGGTGGTTTGGTGCCAACATTCCCGGAAAGGCGAGGGAGTGCTACATCTACATGCAGGGGATGCCGCAATATCGGAAGACATGTGGAGATATCAGGAAGCAGGGTTATCCAGGCTTCGTGTTGAAGTGAGGATCAATCAGATGAGTTGAAGCTTGAACGAATGGTTGACAGGTGTGCAAGAGGTTACAGAGAATGGTTGATAGATATCGTGCGCTTGTACTTGCTGTATCATGTAATGAACAGTATCTTACATCCTGAATCAACCTCATAGAATTGGTCTTTCTCGACGGACCAGAGAGAGCGCGCAGTCAGAGAGCAGTCCATTAGTACCAGGACAACCCAAGCTGCAATGCCAGCAACTCTCCGATCCGCTGTTGGCGGTCACACTCGAAGCCTGCGAGTTCTCATAGTAGCCGATATTCAGAGCAAGGACACAACTTCTGCACAAAACGTCCCCGCCAATATTTTCAAGGGCGTCTCCGAAGGTTCGGCATAGAAGTGCCCGACTTCTGCCGATAAGATTGATCTGAGGCCCCAAATGTTAGGCTGGAACCTTGGCCATTACACCAAGGTCTCCTCCTCTTGCCATACGGCCTTCGCAACGGCGGTGCCCCCGGAGAATGAGACCCAGCACCCTACAGAGCTGGCTGTGTTCCTTGAGATTACCCCAGTACTTCGGCTTCTGCATGGGTTGTCCAGGTAAGTATCCGCACCTGGGTCGATGATCCGCGCATCTGCAATACGGTCCCTTCGCAGGGGATATCTCAAGCCGATTGTTTTGTCGGCCTATAGCCAAACAGTGCCGATGGGTCAAGGTGAGCTTCACATGCAAACGCTTGCTTTTACGGATTGAATGCTCTGGCAAGCTTGTGCATCTGTCTATATTATAGATGTGATTATCTTCCAGGTCGGCCATTTATCTTGATGTAAGTGACGGTCTAATTCGATCAATCTTGCAACTGCCTTGCACCAGATACCTCCGTTTTGAGTTCTGAGAGGCGTTCCCCTTTACCTCCCTTCAAACACCCAGATCGTCAGTATGGGTTCAATTGCTGAGCCCCTCCATTACGACGTGATCATCGTCGGCGGTGGTTTCGGTGGCATATACACCTTGCAGAACTTGAGGAAATTCAAGTTCAACTGCCACATCTTTGAACGTGGCAACGGGCTCGGTGGAGCCTGGCACTGGAACTGCTACCCAGGGGCCCGCGTTGATTCAAATGTCCCAATCTACCAGTTCACCTCCGACGACGTGTGGGACCAGTGGAACTGGTCGGAGCGGTACCCTGGCCAGAAGGAACTGAAGGCCTACTTCAACCATCTCGACAAGACCTGGGACATCAGCAAGGACACGACCTACAACGCCGAGGTCCGTGAAGCTCACTGGGATGCTGAGCTCAGACTCTGGCGCGTCAGTTTCACCGACACCATCAACAATGTCACCACTGGGATAGCCACCGCTCGGTTCCTGGTCTACTGCACCGGCCTCAACGCACAGGCGTGGATGCCTGATTTCAAAGGTGTGGAGAACTATAGAGGCTTTTCATGCCACACTTCCTTCTGGCCCCAGAACGGCCTGGACGTCAAAGGCAAGAGGATGGGTGTCATTGGCACAGGTGCCTCTGGCGTACAGGTTATCCAAGAGCTTGGTCCTCAGGTGGACCACATGACAGTCTTTCAACGAACTCCCAACACAGCATTACCCATGGACCAGGTGACCTATGATAAAGAATTCAACAACACAATCAAGGACAACTTAGAAGACACGTTCACCGCGAGTCGCAAGACCTGGTCAGGATTTCTCTATACGTGGACCGACAAAGAGACAAAAGAAGCCACGGCCGAGGAGAGAGAGGCGTTCTATGAAGAAAAGTGGAAGAAGGGTGGGTTTGAATTTTGGGTCGGCAACTATAAAGACATCGCGCTGGACCAAGAGGCCAACGACCTGGCTTACAATTTTTGGCGGAAGAAGGTCCACGCCAGAGTCAAGGATCCGAAAAAGGCCGAGCTGCTCGCTCCCGAGAAGCAGTGGAACCCATTCGGCACAAGAAGGCCTTGTTTGGAGACGACATTCTACGAAGTGTTCAATCAAGACAACGTCGATCTTGTCGATGTGAGGAGCAATCCGATCCAGGAGATCACGGAAAAGGGAGTCAGACTCGGCGACGGCACGGAGTATGAATTCGATATCCTGGTCTTCGCGACCGGCTTCAATTCTAGTTCCGGAACCATCACTAACATTGACCATCGCGGGACGGACAAGACCTTAACCATCAAGGATCGATGGCAACAGGGCATCTGGACCAACCTCGGCATCGCCAGCTCTGGGTACCCCAACTGCTTCTACATCTATGGTCCGCAGTCGCCATCTGGCCTGGCCAATGCTCCAACCCTGATTGAGCTTCAGGTCAATTGGTTGGTGGACGTCTTGCGCCACATGAGGCGTGATGACCAGACGGTCATTGAAGCAACTCGAGAATCAGAGAAAGCATGGAGAGAGGAAGTCCTTTCCATTGGCAACAGCACCTTGTTTGCAAAGGCAGACGGGTGGTTCTTCGGAGCAAATATCCCAGGCAAGGCGAGAGAGCCGCTGATGTTCATGGCTGGGATGCCATCGTACAGGGAGAAATTGCTTGCTTCCTCTCCTGCCAACGGGTATGCCGGCTTCCATGTGTCATGAAAAAGGATCTTGAGGGCCAGCACTAGACGATGTGAGCGGTAATACCTTTCACTTTGTACGGAGTTGGGTAAAGAGGGTTCGGGTTGTGTGGGGAGCCAGATGCGAAATGAGAGCATGAAACAGATTTGTTTCAACATGCATAGATGGGCGCCATAGTTTACAGGCATATCCTTCGGAAACTCCGGAGGGAGTATCGCATGATATTCGCCAAAGAATTGATCTAGAACAAAGCTCGCATCGGGAAGCTGCCAACTCAGCAACTCGTGAACTGTGTCTGGCTTGAGAATATTCTGGCCGCCACTCAACAAGCCTCCGAGAAGCTTTGCATAGTCTGCAGCGGTAGAATAGAGACCTACGCCGCCACAATCCATGGGGGTTAGGTCAGGCTTGTAATTTGCACCCAACACAACGGATTCACGAGGCCGAGCGCAGAAACCAATACTCGCTCTTGCTGGCTCGAGTTCGTGGTGCTCTGGCTATGTGAAACGTGGTCCTCGTCATGCCCAATGGCTTGAAGATGTTTGACTGCATGTATTCTTCCAAATATAACTGGGTCAGCCACTCCACAACGTAGCCGGCCCAATCAAAGCCGATACCGTAGAGCCAATCTTCACCGGATTGAAGTTTCAATGGTATCTTCAACGATTCAACGGAAAAGGAGTTCGCATTGATCGTCGTGCCGGTCGACTGGCGCCACTTGATGAGAGCTGGATCCCAGACGTCGTATCCGAAACCACTGGTATGGCTTAGGAGAGTGCTATTTACGTGGTATCAGCTTCGTCTTTAATCACTCGAGGGGGTTGAGGACTAACGTAGAGTCACAGGCTTCATCTGGGCCGTGAATATTGGACTTCTATCCTCGTTGAAGCCCTGTAGAACAGCTAAGCCAGCAAGCCCGCACGATCTTAGCCAAATCATCGTCCAAACCCACAAGACCGCGTCAACCATTTGCATTGCGGCTATGGATGTAACAAGCTTCGTCATCGAAGCGATCAAACAGACTGTGTCTTGGATGAAGGGCTCATGGGAGTCAAATGTGCAACAGTCAGCTCCAAAGCTGTAGGACTCTTGGTTTGCGGCCTCAGATGAACTGCTTGTTTCATCCTACTTTCGGACGACGAAAGCGGCGCCTGGAAGTTTGCCATCTTGTGGTGACTTTGAGACATATTTCTCCAGTATCGCCGGGATGGCAGAGAGATAAAACTTAATTTCTAGCATATCGGGCTTCATCGAGGTGACAAACAGTAGTGATATATGACGAAGTATCGATATAAGACGTGGTAGAGGTAGATTACGCAGTCGTCAGAGGTCTGCATTTTGAGGAAACAGAGGACCTGTGCTGCCCCTGACGAGTAGTTCATGGTAGTTGCCGTCTGCACAATCAGCCATTTTTGGGGAAAGGAGTCAGTCTGGGCTTGTGAATTTTCATGAACAGCTTGATATTGCAGACCGTGGCATAAATTGAGCCGATCTCACCATTGCCAGGCGTTGAGACGCGTGCCTTTGCATTGGAATCCATGAATCAACTGCGGAGGCTCTGACAATAGATGGGCTGCGCGAATGCTGTGTTCGACTTTGTCATATACTCTTCCACTCACTCTTCACATCGGCAAGGGAGAGTTTCTTACAATATCTGGCATTGGTCACTATTACCGATCCGTCTTGGAGCCTCGGCTCCCCAAGAGCTACCAAGTAATACCTACTCAACCCCAGGCTCCCCATGACCCCTAGAACCTTCCCTTGATGATTGGATTTGGCCTGAATTCATCTGGATTTCTCAGAAATCCAAACCCTTATGTTCTTTGCAGGATTGAAGGACGTCCACCCCAGATTTCATCAGAAATCTGACTATTGATTGATACCGCCGAAGTTAACCTCGCATACATCATCCTCTTCAAGATGGAACCACGAAAACGAGGCCGTCCCAGGGTGGACGCCAGGCTGGACAACTGGTCCGAGGTGCGGGATAAACGAGAACGTAGAAGGATACAAGATCGACTGGCTCAACACGTGAGGCGTAAGTCAGCCTATTCCCTCCATCCTTGAACAAGACTAGCTGGAAGACTGATCGTACGGCTAGGCACTTGTCTTCTGTCTCAGAATGCCAGAGCCGTTTCACGTACCAGCGAAAGCCTCGATTCTTTTGACAGCAATGAGCATCATGTCCTCACCGTCTCGCGTCGTGCGGCACCCCCGATGAGGGAATTCTTGGACCTGCTGTCATCGCCAGGTGATACCCTGGAGACATCCTCTGAGGACTCTTGTGCCGAGTTGCGACGGGCGACGTGGGATCCACACTCGTGGCGACTGGAGCCGTCATTTTCTCGCAAATGGGGATACCTTTTCAATTAACCTCCGTGCAAAAGTTCTTTTGCAAACCGTTGTTTCATAGCCGCGAAGTGGTACAGCATCTTGATCATCTCCACAGAACTTCCATATAAACGTCACGCTGTGCACGGGCTTGAACGTTGGTCCGGCCAGTCGACCGCGCCCAGGGTTTTGTCAGATTTTGTCAGAAACTCCATGCGCCGAAACGGACTTTTTCGTTATGTTCGAAGTTATGCGATCTTGAATTCACGATGACCTCGTCCCCTTTTTATGCTGGAAAGCACATAAATTTTCTGCAAGAGAGACTATCTCAGTTCTGGCAAGATTTCGACAGTCTACGAAGTCTGAGAACTCTGAAGATGGAAAATGTCAGAAAGTTTACTGAAACTGATCTCGTTTAGCGACTCCGTGGTCGTCTTCAGTTCACCCACAATTCAACCCCAGGCTGCACCTCCAACAACCTCTATTGGCTTCAGTCGCACCCGGGGAAGAGACATGGAGACCCCATAGTATAATATAAGAGCTTGGGACAAGTAATCCATGTATTACTTTACGGTGTTGAAGAAGCATCTGCGAATCCCTCTCTGGACGATTAAGCTTGAGTATCGCAACAGGAGGAATAACAATGGTGACCACGACAGTGTCTGCACACCCTCTGAAGCTTGACTTTTGGTCTCACGGGAAATACATCTTTATATGCACCGTGGCTATGCTGTCGTCGTTCCAACACGGTAAAGCTTGCAAACCCACGGGAACCCACGTTGACAAGCTGACGTTCCCGTTGAAGGACTCGACTACGCACTGGTGGGCGGCTTTCTGTCGTAAGACCCGCGACCGGTACAGAGGAGGAAACGACTGACGAGCAGTAGAACGCCCGGCTTCCTCGAAGTCTTTGGCTAGTACGCCCCGCACTTGAAAAGATGGAACATTGATGTCCGTGCAAACACATTCGGCGTTTGAGGCAGTCGGCTAAGCGTTGTTTTTGCTGCACGTCGTTCAGCAACTCATCTCGTCCATTATGACGGTCGAAACCTTTGTATCTCCCCTCCTTGTCGGCCCTTTTAGCAGCAGGTTCGGGCGCAAACCTGGCCCATGGGTAGCCATACTTCTCATCTATGCAGCCGCAGCCATCCAAATCGGCACGACGAGCAAAGAGGTCCTATATTTTGCTCGGTTTCTGATGGGTAAGCCATGTTCCCAGTTTCCAGCAATGAGAGACCACCCTTACTCACCTAATAAAGGCTTTTCCATCGGCTGGCTAATCACCTTCGCGCGGCTCTACGCCCACGAGACGGCCCCTGCACATCTCCGCGGCATCGCTCTGGCATCGTACCAAATTCTCTTATCGATGGGCGGGATCGTTGGGTATGCGGTCGACTACGGCACGCGAACGATGCTCAGCCGGCGTGCATATAAGATTCCGCTGGCAATCTTCTTCGTCGTCCCCACAATTCAAGCTATACTGCTCTTCTTCGTTGCTCCGGAATCACCTCGCTGGTTGGTGGTCATGAACAGAGAGCGCGAGGCAGAAGCCGCGCTGCGCAGGTTGCGAACTCACAAGATCAGTGAGCTTGAACTCCAGACCGAGTTGAACGAAATCCGCCAGTCTACGAGAGAACAGATTCAGCATAGTAAGAACGCATTGTTCCGGGAGATTTGGCGTGGCACTAACCTCCGACGTACTCTCCTCTCGATATCTGTTGTGTCTTTCCATGCAGCTAACGGGTTTGTCTCGCCCTGTGTTGACATTTTACCTACAGCTATAAGTACTTCGCTAACAAGTCTATCTCAACAGATCGAGCTGTATTAACATCTACACGGTCTACTTCTTGGAGTTTTCCGGCGTTGACAATCCCCTGGCTTACAGCATCTTGGTCGAGGCGGTCGGCTTGATTGTTGTACTACTCAGCCTACTCTTCGTTCGAAGAATTGGCTGTCACACACTTATGCTCGCGGGCACGATAGGCTGTGGTCTCTGCCAACTCATTCTAGCCATAGTGTGGACGGTCGAACCAAACACCAAGTCGTTGCCCAAGGTTGTGGTCGCTTTTATCTGTTTGTTCGAGCTATTCTTCGTGGCATACTGTAAGTTGTTTTGCCCTTTACAGCCTTTCACTTTCGAATTAACCCATTTCGTTCCTAGCGCCTACGCCTGGCTATTAGGCGGCGAATACGCCAACAACCAGCTTCGAGCATTCACCTTCGGCCCTGCTGCGGCTATCAACTTCCTAGGAAACTGGGCGGGGACATTCTCGGCGCCTTATTTCATTAATCCTGCCAGTTTCGACTGGGGTCCAAAGTATGGCTACATCTGGTTCGGGTCGAATATGGTCTGTGCCATGTTGACGTGGCTCTTCTTACCGGAGACCAAAGATCGAACTCTGGAGGAAATCCATGAGATGATCGAGGCGAGATTGCCGGCTCGAAAGTTTGAAGGGTATGTGTGTGTTGGGGTGGAGACCGCTGCTGCGCAGGCTCTGGGCACGCAGTTGGGGGAGCGGAAGAACATTGAGGAAACCACGCATGCAGAAGAGGTGGAAAATTCAACACCGAAAAAAAGAACGTGGAACATTCGAGACTGAAAAGTAGCAGAGCAGGCCAACGTTTTGAGACTTATGTTCTTAGTGACTCCATTACAATAGTCCCGTGTCTTCAAATTCCTCAGAGAGCCTTGCAGCTATCCAAAGTGTCTTACGCCTGGAAGAAGCTTCGAATGAGGGTCGAGTGCATCGAGGAAACGCGAATTTGGAAGAAACAAGTCAAGGAAATCGTTGCCAATCATGTTGTGGCCTTGAAAATCGAACAGCGGCGGCGTTTGTGAGTAGTCCGGCGGTAAATTTGGGACTGTCGTGCCAAGGTCCAGAACTGGATCTGCTATGTTCATCATCGACCCAAATCGGTCACCAGGAGACGTTCCAGAAGGTCGACCGTCAAGGACGTTGAGCGAGGACGGAGATGTAGGTTTCTGCCCAATGTCACGAAACTGATTCAGTGATGGATTGCTGGGGGAGGGCATGTTCTGGGTCAGACTAGAGTGAGGGAGTACTGTAATGGTGGCGGCGGGATCATCTTGTCCCATGGAGAGACGAGGTCGTTTCCTCGTAGGGCCTGCGTCAAAGGATGAGGATGGTGGAGATTTTGTGCCTCGATCAGCAGTCGTCGACAACGCGGTTGCGTTATACCCTTGAGTATATGGTGGTGCTGGCAGCTCTGCAAAGTCGAGTCCAAGTTGTTCCATCTCGTGCTTGATGACACGGCACATTATCTGCGCCGGGTAGCAAATGTGAGACATTTCTCGCAGCTGCTCCATCAGCCAGTACAGATGCTGTAAGCCCAGGATCCGCTTCTCCCTCTCGGTGCTGGCTTTGGTACTGCACATCAGAGCCAAGAACGCAGTGCCGGCTTGTTGAAGAGCGAACACGTTTGTTTGGCACGTGCCGAATTTTTGACGGTAGCTCGTGAAGCCACGGACGATGTTCATCGCGGCCTTCATCGTAATGGATCGGGCCATGTCGCGCATCCAATTGGATTCGCTGGTCTCGGAGGATTTCTCTGCGGCGCCAGGTGACTTGGCAGGCTCTACTCCTACGGCGTCCTCGTACCTCCCGTAAGGACCATAGAGAACGAGTTGAGACACGTGGTACTGTTGACTGTACGAAGTGTTAGACGTGGACAGAGTAACATTGGCTGCGTGGACCCAGGGGCGGACAGCGAAGGGAGATTTCCAAACCAGGATGACTTACTGAATCAAGAAGAACGCCCGTGGTGCGTCTTGGACATTTTCCGGAGTCCAGGTCAGCCGTGGAGGCAGCGAGCTGTACCAAGATTTCAACTTGTTGTCCAACATGGCAACGTCGACCAACCTGCCCTCATCTCCGACCGCGTCAGGACTGAGCATTGGTTGTGCCAGTCCCTGAATTTTAGAACTGAGCTCCGAAAGTTCCAGTAAGGCATCGAGTATCTGTTCGATGAGGAAGTCTTCTGACGAAGTGGACTCACTGGCAATAGCATGTGGTGGACGAAGTGCAGACTCGCCGGAATTCGAGCTGCGGGTGTTTAAGCAAGGGCTCGCCACGTCAGCGAGTTTGATATTGGTTGGTCTTCCCAGGTGCAAAGCCCAGGCCTGGTCGTATATTATGCACGAACGTAATACATCCTTCCGAAACTTCGTTTTCGACTCGGGCAAATTCAGGCTTGAACAATCTATGTTGAGCCCGAATTGGAAGGCGAGGTGACATGAGATGGTGATGTACAAAGCGGCCGAGTCGTCCCGACCACACGCACATTCGAGGTCGCTCAAGATCAACATGGCCTGGATAGTCGTGAGCCCTCCAGGATCGTTGAGCTCGCGATCCAACATGTATTTCGCTTCGCGCCAGAAGACACTCTGCTTGTCCTCGGCTGTGATTTGTTGCATTCCAGGCCGGGTCTTGTCCGCGTAGTGAAAACCCATAGCCAAGCATACGAGGTGAAGCAGTCCTGAATAGTATGTGGTACCCCCACTGCTCTGGTCGCCTTTGAACTTAACTTGGTCCACAACGCGCAGCGTGTTATTGTATTGGTTCCAAAAAAGATCCATCAGATAACTCTCCAGGTCTGCGGGAATATCGGCGAGGATGCGGTAGGACTGCTTGTCTAAATGCGTGGACTCGAGGGCAGCGTGGTCCTTGATAAAGATCTTGTAGGAAGTGGATGCGCTGAGATAGCTGACGCGACCTGTTCTCTTGTCGTAGATAAGTCGGTCGTTTCCATAGATCAGATTCCATACTGTGCTCTTCCTATTGCTTAACCTCGGAGGATTGGAAGCACTTCGTGGACGAACCGTATTGTTAGGTTTGGAGAGGTTAAGCCCACTTGTGCTGCCCGGTGACCTATGCGATATCAACACTGCGTCTGCTGATGCAGGTGACTCGTGAGCATGGTTGTCTGAGAAGATTAACGGCCATGCATTTGGCGAGCGCGCAGTGTCAGAATGATTTTCCGAGGTTGCTGCCTCCAAGGGTGGTACTTCTGATGAAGAATGCGTGGGGCGTGCGTATTGCAGAGATGGCTGCGTTCGAGTGACCTTTTGAGGAAGCTGAGGAGGTTCCAAACCGGCTTCTCGTATCCGGTGCTCAAGGGATTCGATGTTTTCAAGCAGCGAGTTCAGATACACCTTGGATTTGGGCCTCCAATCGTCAGGGGCACCATCCACATGGCTGGAGCAAATTGGGGGGTATCTACCTCTTCCTCTCGTCAGACCTCTGAAAGGTGCACTCATGGCCCTTGCTCCGACAGTAGTTGCAGGACGTTTGACCAGCATCCGTAGTGCACTGGATCACGATACCCGTCAGCCCCAATGAGCAAAGCAACAATCTGGCAGCCACGGTTAACCCACCTTTGTGCGTCGATTGCGACAGGCACTACAGGCAGCAGAGACCCGAGCATGAGCACCAGCACTGCGGTTACTCATGTTGCAGGCAAGGGTGGGTCGAGAAGCAATACAGAAGGGAATCTCAGGGCCGCGAGAGAGCGTTGGCTATCTTCAGGCGAGCGACACTTATCTTCCGGTGTTCAAAGGAGGTCGGCGTGAGAAGTGAGCAGGACAGGCGGAAAAGAGATTCGCCTAGGCACTTGCGGGGGCGCCGAGGAGCTGGATGTGGGATACCCCTCACCTGACACTCCCACATTTTTAGGGTAGCTTAGGTAAGGGCCAGGGGCCGAGGGGGCGCGCCATTAAAGAAATACCGAGTAATCTAAGCGGAACTGACCTTCCGCCGCAGTGGCACTCCATACCACCGCTGGGTAGCTATTTAGGAAGCTTGAGGAGCTATGCAAGCGCATCCAGACCCTGAAGGCTAGCCTAAGGCGAACCTTGATCAAAGCGACCCGTACACGGTGCTCAATTACGATACTTCAAGCTGGATGTTTGGTATGACAACCCGAGGTGAGGCTCTCCACCCTTTAAATCTTGGAGCTCCAATTGCAGTCGAATCTTTGTCTTATGGTGGAATACGAGGCGGAAGGCTGACGACTTGAGCCTCTGCGGGCTTGGAACTCTACTTTATTGCATCAAGACCTAGTGGGAGTAGGTTGCAGTCTTCAGAGATCAGTCGCAGATAATGGCTTCCTTGCAAGGAAAAGTAGTGAGTGCAATAATCCACCCATCATCGTTCCAAAAAAAGGCCCGCCACTGAACTCGCACTGTAGATCGCTGTCACCGGCGCGGCCAGTGGGATTGGTCTTGCCACAGCACAAGTCCTGGCCACACGAGGTGCGATTGTGGCCTTGGGAGATATCAACAAAGATGCGGTGGAATCTGCTGCGGCGTCCCTCCCCGGTGACAAGCATATCGCTTCCAAGGTGGATGTGACTTCAAATGAACAGGTCGAGGGGTGGATCAAGGACATTGTACAGCGGTTTGGAAAGCTCGATGGCGCCGCCAATGTTGCAGGCCTGGCGTTGAAGTCCGCTCCGTTCATCGAGACGACTGAGGACCACTGGGATTTGATCATGAGTTGGGCTACCCTTCCTCTTGAATTCTTTCTTTCCTTTGCAGTATTCACCAAATACTAACAACAAACTTGACCAGACATCAACGCAAAAGGCGTCTTCCTGTGCATGCGAGCACAACTGAAAAACATGACGGAAGGAGCATCAATTGTGAGAAACTTCCACAAAACCCAGCTGTGTGTTTGACGTCCTCTAATCAAATTCCTTCTTTTCCCACGCAGGTCAATGTTGCCAGTGTTGGTGGTTTGAGCGGAGGCAGTGGAGCTTGCGCCTATGTGGCTTCAAAGCATGCGGTCGTTGGCTTGACGAAAACTGCCGCTCGAGAGGTGGGCCCTAAGAACATCAGAGTCAATGCCATTGCCCCAGGTGAGATACCGCGGATCCTGCGAAACTGTCATTAATCCCTGCCATCTAGGAATTATCCAAACACCGTTGGTGGAAGGCCTCCAAAAAGCCTCAGGCCAAAGACTAGGGACAAACCAGCAAGCTTTGGACAGGCAAGCAGATCCACATGAGCCTGCTAACATCATTGCCTTCCTCCTGAGCGATGATGCATCGTTTGTGACCGGATCAGTCTACAGAGGTACACTGCCAAATTTCATTCCTACATGATCGAGGCTGACTTTCTTGCCTCAGTTGATGGAGGTTGGCTTTCTTGAAGTCAAGAGGGACTGAATATGCGAGAACTTCTGGCACAAACAAATCAAACTCGCTGAACTTGACCGCTGAGGTGAGTTTGAATAAATAGGAGTGGTGCAACAGGTACAGATAGAAGGAATAGACGCGAACTTGAAGGTACAAAATCCATGTCTCCTATCTGCCTCGTTCGATGAGAACTTGTACCACATACAGATAGCAGCACATATCTCTCAAATGCACACCAGTCGAGAGGAGTGACTGTGCACCTCGTTGAAGTCTTGTGATCTAATTCACTTGCGATGTCTCGTCCAGAAAGTGTCTCCAAGCCTCACCTGGCTCCGGCTTCTCCGTGCCACACCGTGACCTTTACTTGACGCCTACGATTTGGAACTCATGCATATGACAAAGCTTCAGATCATGGCGCCTTTTCGCCACATTGAGGTGCAATCCCGCAGCGCTGAACATGAGGATTGGGGTCTCAAAACACAGCCACCCACACGCAAGGCAGCTGTGAAGTTGCCAAGGCTCGCCAGGCCATTTACCGGACAGCCACCAAAAGAGATTCAAGTAGAGACAAGTGCGAGCATCATGGAGCGGACTCTTGATTGCTTCAAACACTGCTCTCAGTGCTCGAAGTCGTGTTCCCATGGAGAACAACGACGCTGTAACACCAACAAGATCAGGACGATACGTCTACCAACCTCTCCCCAAAGACGCGGACCAGCCCGGCTGCTTCCGAGTCCTCACACTGCTTCCTGGAAAACACGAGCAGCGACTGGAATGCGAAATACACCATCGAAAGCTCGACCAGTCTCTCGGTCTTTGCACTCATCTAATACATCAAGAACAAGGGTGATGAGTAAGGGTTCCTCTAAGGCTTCGTCAAGGACAGTCAATCCGCGATAGCATCTATACGATATAGGTCTCTTTATAGGGACTCGACAAATGTCTAGGGCTAGTATCTATAGTTAAAAGCAGACGAAAAATAATGGTTTATTTATTTTAAGATCAAAATTAACTTATAGGTAACTAGTGTAATGGGAAAGGTTTGAAGAGGACCTGAGATGCAAGGCGGACGAACAAGGTGATTGGTCGACTTTTGGCTGTACAGTGTACAGGCAAACGTTGCCACTCTCTGATTGGTCAGTTTGAGGGTACCACTTTAGCTTGGTGGTCTTTCCTTTGTTATTCTTTTTTCTCAGATAGACAACAACACAATCAATCAACTGCTTGACAAGATGTGAACGTGCCTGTTACCTACCGCCGTACGAGTTGGCGCCTATGGCTAGAAGCCTCGCCCCAGTTCACTTGTTATTGTTACTTCTACCCTATACTATCTTTATCCTTTAGCTAACTAGAAACTTTAATCGGCAAGATCTCCACCTATCAGCTCTAGCGTTAGTCATTTTCCCACATAAATAAAACCCTACTAATTTTAGGGATTTCGGGCTTAGAAATCATCTAGAAACGACTATTAAGGCGGAGGTTAGCTGTCACGGCCTGCCAGGCCTTCCCTGGGACTAGTTAAGCTATCCTAGGAAGCGCTAAGTGTGATGGGTTGAACCCAGGAGAAGGCTCGGTTCTGGCGAACCAGCGCCAAGACCAACGCTAGGAAATACTGCCTCCTGATTAGTCAAGATTTACCTATACAATGTACAGGCGAAATGCTGCCTCCTGATTAGTTAAGACGCATATAGTGTAAGGGATATAAAGTCCTAATAGCTAAGACATCGTACATAAGGGAAGGTAAGGAGTTAGAATAAGTACGTAAGGGAAGGTAAGGAGCTAGAATAAGTACGTAAGGAAAGGAGTAAGAAGGTGAGGATAATAGTTACCTCCTTACGGCGCGTTAGAGGATATAAGGAGAAAGGAAGGATAGCTATTCCTTCCTTCTCTCTCCTCAGATTTATCCTCCTTATTACTAGGTTAGCTAGCTAGTTATAGAACTCTTTCTAAACCCTTACATTAGGATAAATCTCCCATTTCTTATACCTCCCCCGTATATATCGATAATGGAAATGGATTCTGTGAGGGTTTAGAAAGAGTTCTACAACTAGCTAGCTAACCTAGTAATAAGGAGGATAAATCTAAGGAGAGAGAAGGAAGGAATGACTATCCTTCCTTTCTCCTTATATCCTCTAACGCGCCGTAAGGAGGTAACTATTATCCTCACCTCCTTACTCCTTTCCTTACGTACTTATTCTAGCTCCTTACCTTCCCTTACGTACTTATTCTAACTCCTTACCTTCCCTTACGTACGATATCTTAGCTATTAGGACTTTATATCCCTTATATCGTATATATCTTGACTAATTAGGAGGTAGTATTTTACCTATACATTATATAGGTAAATCTTGACTAATTAGGAGATAGTATTTCCTAGCGTTAGTCTTAGCGCTAGTTCGCCAGAACCGAGCCTTCTCCTAGGTTTAACCTATCACATCAACCCCCCCTCCTTCTATACTTACCTAGGAAGCCTCGTACGTATCTAGCGCGGTAGAGTCTTATAGTGCGTCGGCCGGTTCCTACGTTAGTTCGGCGTATCTAGTCTATTTCATCAGGTATTACTTCTAGGATCCTCTTCCTCTTCGTACGACTCTATCTTCTAGGATCGCCTCCACCTCGTATTCTTTATCGTCTCCAACTATCACTAGCGTAGGCTAGTTATCGTCCGTTCTCTACGAGTCGAGAGGGTCTATTAAGGCCGTACGAAGGAGGTCTAAGTAGAAGACATTATGAATGCCCGGCGGGGTATTTAGGCGGTAGCTATAAGATCCCACTACCTCCGTAACGGTATACTTCGCATTCTTCTAGTCTAGTTTCTTACTAATACGCGTCGTTTATACGTTTCTTAAGTTAAGTCATACCTTATTACTAACTTAGAATTACGGTATCTATTATTACGTTTAATTCGTTCTCTCCTTCTACTCCTACTACGCGATAGTTATTAAAGACTACGCCTATTCTCTCACCTCTTAGAGTCGCTATATAATAAAGTCTACTTATTATATAGGCTCTCGAGGAGTCTCCGCTATATAGGGGGATTCTTATATTTAAAGTAGCTTAATATAATACTTATATAGTAGGAAGAATAGGCTTACTTCTATAGAGTATACGTCACGATTATTAATTACTAGTTTCGCTATAAGTAGGAGTTCTACCTAGTTATCTTATTTTCCATTTATAAACGTACGAAGGTACATTTCGACCGTTTAGTTTATTCGCTTAGTAGACCTATCTATCTCCGGGTAATAAACTATAGATAGTTACTATATAATACCTAAGAGTTAATAGACCCTTTTCTATAGTATACTTATAAATTAGGGGCCGTAATCTAATATAATTACCGATAGTAGTCTATATTACTAATAGAACGTCCGTAGGAAGACTCCTACTACGTCTTTTAACTTAATCATACATAACGGTTTAAGTAAGACTCCTTTCTCTAGTTAATCTATAATAACTATTAGGTTCGTATAGCCCTAACTCTCTAGGAGTTCCATAATAAAATTAACTAATACTTCTTTCTATAGTCGATCGGAGATCGGGAGAGGCTTTAGGAACCCCTATTTCTATTCCTTCTAGGTCTTTATTCGTCTATAGACGTTATAGTTCTATATAAATCTTCGAATATCTTATAGTATATTTAGCTAGAAGAACTACCTTACTATTAAGGCTACCGTCCCTTCTTAACCTAAGTAACTAATAACCTTTAAGTTATATATCTATTAAATAATTACCGTATAGAGAGCCTCTAATTCCGGTACCTAGCGTTATCCCTAAAATAATAGTTACTCTTCCTTATTAAGAGTATATTCTATAATTAATACTTTTAGATCTAGACTAAAGGGGAACGTATAGGCTCCTCTTTATATAGACTTAATAGTCTCCTAATATATCTAGTTATTCTATTAAGCTAATCTCTATTATTCTTTAATCGACGGTCCTTCTATCGATATCGTATTTACTTATAGCGCCTTAGATCCTATTCCGTCTAGTATCTCTAGCTTAATAAGGTATACTATATAATACTAAAGTCTTTTATCCTCTTAGTCCTAAGGTATATCCTACTCTCTCTAGGAGAGGGCGTCCGCTCGAATATTTTACCTTCTAAGGACGTATAAGATTGTAAAGTTATACCTTAATAGGATAAGGGACTAACGTATTTATCTCTTAGTGAGTTTTTATATAGATATAAAGTATTTAAGGTTCTTATAGTTAGACTAAATCTCGAATTTCTTAACGCTCTATAGTTCGGCATTCTATTCCTCTAGATATCGTATAATAGCGAGTATTTCCTTATTATAGATCTTATAGTTATATTCGACTAGATAATTCTTCTTTAAGAAGAAGATATAGAGGTATATAACTCCCTTATCGTTAACTTAGAAGAGCGTCCCCCTAATACACTATTTTAACGCATTAACTTCTATAATAGTCTCTCTCTTATAGTTAAATAGGATTAATATTAGGGCCGTTATAAATATCCTTTTTAGCTATATAAAGGCTTAGTCTATCTCTATTATCTATTAAAACGTTATATCCTTCTATACGAGAGTTATAATAGGAAGTATAATCTTAGAGAAGTCTCGTATAAACTTCCTATAGAAGTTCGTAAATCTAATAAAGCTTTATATTCCCTTTATTAATTTAGAGACTTTCTAGTCGAGGATTACCTTTACCTTCTCTAGATCTATTTATACGTCTTTCTCTACTTTAATAATAAACCCTAAATATTTCGTTAACTTAACCTTAAATTCGCACTTATCGATATTAATCCGTAGTCCTACCTTACGTAGGCGTTTAAGGACCTTCTAGACATAACTCTAGTACTCTTCTAATAACCTATATAAATAGATTAGGATATTATTAATATAGGCTAAGTAGAAGACGTTAAGGTAGTCGCGTAAGGTCTAATTAATATATTTCTAGAATATACTAAGCGCGTTCACTAATCTAAAAGGGGTAATAAGCTATTTATATAGTCCGTATCTCGTACGAAATACCGTCTTCTATTCGTCTCCTTCTATAATGTAAATCTAGTAGAATACTACGATAATATTAAGCTTTATATACTATTTAGCTCGTCTAATATTCTATAGTATTTTATAGATTAACGGTAGAGAGTACCGATCCTTCCTTATAAT